CAAAGAATATGATTCTATGGAGTCAATTAAAAATTTAATTAAATGAAAACGGAAAAATGGGAACCAATTTATCTTTTAAAAAAATAGAAGAGAAAAGATTTCACCGTTACAGTTATGAGTCTTACATCTCATATTATATTAGATTTCATCGTGCATCCAAACATACTAATGGAAGATAAGATCTCATGCAATTCAAGCACCTTTTAGGAACTCTTGAGGAAATAAGTCTACGACTAGGAATAAAACAATCTTTATAAGTAGTTCCTGCACTCAATATGGTCATATATTTTAATCAATTGGTGTAATTTTTATGTTACTCGTTTTAAACTAATGGATTATTTGAATGGGAATTTATTTATACACGATAGATTCGTAAGTTCTACACGTTTTGTGCATTAGTATCAGTGGTACACGTTTTCCAAATCTAGTTTTCCGGCTTAGCGTGTACCTAAATATAAAGTAAATACAGAATGAAGAATTAACATTCCAGCAAATATTTCAATGTAAAACTAATTTGGAGCATTAATCAAAGATTGACATATCATTAATGGGACATCTCTTTGTTAAGGGATAAGATCTAGGTATCGCCAACTATTATCAAAGAGCAACTTTTAGTCAAACAAGGATTGGTTTCACAATTTAAGAACTTCATTGGTATCATTTTTACGAAAGATCTAAAATAAACATGCGTTATGTCAGATTACGATGTTGCGATTAGAAAACTACCTGAAAAGAATTACACCAAAAATGAATTCAGACCATTTTTCAGGAAATCCAATAAGTGTAAAAAAAAGATTTCTAAGCTAATGGCTAAAGCAGACTGGCACTTTTTTTTAGTTGATAAAGATGTTCCCATACAAAAGACATAATTTTAGCCACAAAAAAAAAACTTTTCAATTATCTTGTAGCGACGAGTGACTTTATACTGCAATTAACATGGTGCTCAATAAATTCTTTCAAGATCCTCACATAGTATCTTCAATTATAGAATATGGTTGTGTGAATGAAATTTTAGCTGGATTCTGGAAAAGATGTCGTTTCAAAATGTAGGAGCAAAACTGAAAAGAAGCAGATAAGCTAAGAATACACCCAACAGTGTTGTTTATACATTTTGAGTTCTATTCAAGCACAATGCAACTCATTTCTGAGTAGCTCTGCTTTTATCACTCCATCAACTCTAAAGGATTCATCATTTTCTGTCTTCTTATTCCTACGTTATCCATGAGCTGAACCGCCTTGATGTCATCATTTTAGTGTTATGGCTATTACCAAATTTAATAATAGAATGTTGAGTAGTGTCCATCTTCAAATTTTTATAGAGATAATTATTACGAATATGCCAGGAAGCATTAACATCATTCCTCAGTACTTTATTAGAGATGCGTTGGATTACATTTATTTTCAACTTAGCAGTACAACCACGTAATTAGGTCCTATACGTATAAATTTGTTTTGACATCTACTTGTCTACTTGAACTTTTGTCCAATTAGTCAGCACATTTTTTATAGAATATACCCAGTTGATCTACATTCTGTCTCACATGAGCTTTCGTAGACTTCGATTCATCAAGCTATACTAGCTACATCTGGAGTATTTTTACCACTAGTTAGGAAAGCTGTGTAATTGGCAAAGGTGGCGATTACTATGTTATCATCCAATTTTGGCTTTTCCGTAACCTATACCTCAGCTTAGCAAAATGGCTTATGAAAAAGTTAATTAGACTAGATAGAGTACCAGCAAATGTTTTTTGCATTAATATACTATACTCAATATTTAATGCAAAAGTGATTGAAATTTTAGCACTATGCATCTCTTATCGATTAAATGCAAATAATAAAATTGTAATATAAAACAATAATCGCTTACTGTCACGTTTATACCATATTTTAGAGTGACATCGTATAATAATATGATCGACCTGTATTCTAAGCTCTGACAGGGAGGCATTCTTGTATAATTCATGAATTCCGATAACGGCAGTTTGGAAAATTCAATTATACGGTACTCAAGCTTCCGGGGCTCGCGGTAACATAATAACCATCCGCTGCAGCGGATCGACATCGGGTCGAGTGCCTCCGAAAAGGAACCCAAAAATTCCCATCTACGATTCTCCTGCTCAACAACAAAATCCACTAGTACCATTTTACCATTTTCTTTTCTCTTTTTTAGAACTTTTTCGGTTGTCTCAACCTCGTTTTCTAAAACCCCGGATACCATTATTATTTCTGCTAGAAAACTTTAATTCTTTCAAATCATATTGTACCTGAATAAACTTATTTGAAAAGAAATTCGCTGGTTAGAGATAATTAAAGAAATTTTTTATATTCGATTAAAGCTCGTTTATCATAATAATGTGTTAGAGAGGGGTTCGGTCAATTTTCGGAAAAAGAGATAATCGGAAGTAATCGCCATGCAGATAACGTTCGCAGTGGGGCCACTTTGCGGCCAAATAATGAGGACGACGAAGCACACGTCGAATGCCGATCAATCATCAACTGCTTCGTAACCACAGTCTCTCTCGCATTCATTTATGAGAGCCGTTTTAGCAAACTCGACGCAAGTCGCGAGCTTTTTAGCACCCACACGAGGCCCTGCTACAGATCGATTTTTATAGGTAAAAGCTCTATACAACTCTCCTCATCTCTCTCTCGTTCTGTTTGCACACACGTCAACGTTAAGCGGACTTCGAACGTGTATAATCTTCATTGAGAGAAGCAAAAAATAGAATTACCGAGGGAGAAAATAGGCAAAAAGAAAAATTTTCAAGGAAAGAACTTTAAATCGAAAAAAGATACATGGCGCCACCATGATCGAAATGATCAACGTCGGGAATAAAAGCTCGAAAGAAAACGAGTAGCAGGAGGGTTCCAATTCATCAATCAAAGTCGATTCGCGTCTGATGATATGTCAATTCGAGGGAACGATGGCGTAAAGGGGGGCCTCCCGATTGTTAGTAAACAGGCGCCGCAACGTCTTGGAAAAATGCGAATTGTGTTATTTTAAGAATGTGTTCGATGTGTGTGAAGTGATATGAAGTTTCCTCTTTAGAAATATCTAAACAACATTTCTAAAGGGGAAATAAGAAAAATATAAAGATAGAAATGTAATAAGGAAAGATAAACTGTCAGAAAATAATCTAACCAAAATTTATACTAAAAATAATTGCAATTTTTAAGATTATTAACATTTCATGAAAGTTATGTACTGCTCATTAGACAAAGTTTCTTTTCTTTCTGGACAAGAAGTATTTTAGAGAAAAGGTCCGTAATAAATTGCACACAGTAAATTTGCCGGAAAGTTAATTTTCGCCCGGGAACGACCGCCTCTTGTGTTTTTAGTTTCTCTTTTCCGGTTTGACACGTCCCCTAGGGGTACATTAGCGCACCCCAAAAAACTCCGGAACTTTTATCCCAATTTATAGTTAGAAAATAAAAAGAAACTTTAGGGCCACATTAAACCCAACATTACATCATCAAATAGCAACAAATTTTTTCCTTATTATTAGAATAAAAGTAAATAAATACAGATTCTTATAAACAGCTTGTATGTCTATATTGCGTCAATAAGACCTTTTTACAGAAACTCTATTATCAGCATCGGTGTTGTAGTCGTTTTGTAGATACTTCTCTTTCACTGTACTCTGTTAATGACCGTGTTTTTGACTCTTTGGAAAAACTTCTGTGTTAATATTGATAATTGTATTTTTCTGCAGAAACTTCTTTGCCAGAGTATTATGTTTTATGTCAATGGCAGTGTGTTTGACCTTGTGCAGAAACATCTGCGTTAGTTTATGTCAGAGTTGTTTGTTAGTGTTTTTTAGATCTTGTCTTTCTATAATATTTCTATTAGTGATAGTAATCTGACCAATTTACACAAACCTGTGTAACTTTGTTAGTGGCATTCTGACAATGTTTTAGACTTTTTGCAGAAACTTCTTTGTATAAGTACTTATTTTTGTACAAAAACTTCTGTCATGATCCTTTGTTAATGCAAATTGTTCTTTTGTTTTTCACAAACACTTTTCTTGCGCAATCTCTTTCCCTTGCACTAACTTCTATGACAAAATTAGTGTTCTATCTTTTTAACAAAAACTTGTGTATCGGTTTTCAGTGTTCTTATCTTTATGCAAAAACATTGCAGTTGGAAACTAACCAATAGTAAGTACTTGTTCTTTAATAATTAAGGTTTACAGAAATAATCGGTTTTAAAATTGGAGAACGTAAAATCAGATTAAGTGGCACTTCCGATTAAACGCTTTGATTCAAATTTCTGACATATTATTTAAACCCTTTGATTTTTGAGTTATCGTGTTTACACACATACATAAGTATACACAGAGACAACGCTAAAAATAGTTAAAATAGATTCAGGGCCACTTAAAACGAATAACAATCTCGATTTCCAACAAAATTTCGATGTCGAATTGTGGCACGATTAGAATAATGTTTCTTTGTATGCTTCGTATAAGCGAGATTAAAATTTTATATCTAACTTGTAAGTAATACGTAAAACATGAAATGTTGAGAAACGCTGATCTAAAACGAAACAAAACAATAAACACACAAAAAATTTGAAATACGCAAACATACAAAGGCCCTCGTGTCTACGATATCATATCTACATTTTTCACGTTTCAAATTTCATTTTTCTAACAGTATATATTCATTTTCATTTAAACAAGTAGGTACTTCCTTTTATATGTTTTTCGTTAAAATAGTTTTTTATTTTGGTTTAAAAAAATATAAACCTTTGTATATTTAAACGTCGTTATTGCGTGGGTTTGTCCGGTTCGTTCTTTTATGAATGGCGTATTCTTAACCTATACCACGAAAACGACGTCGACGTCGAAACCGCGTGGCGTCGTCGTCGTGGTAGCCCATTTCCGTCGCGTTTTCAAAGGGGAACTTTTCGCTTTTCGTAGGGACGCACGCGCCATAATTTACTCTTAGCGGCGTCGGTATCTGAGCGTCCCAAACACACGCCGTGCCGTCGCGACGCCGCTCGGACGTCCAAAACAACTCGTCGTCGTTGTCGACGTCGAAAAGGCGCGAATTCAAAAAGTCGCGTGTTCCAAGTTAGACCATCCCAATAGAGAAAAAATATAAATACAGCCAAAACTGACCAAGAAAAAAGTGTGCAAACATGTCTTCTAATAACTTTATGTTAACTAAAGATGTAAAAATAAATCATGTAACGAGTGTTACTTAATTTTAATAAAATTAACTTTCAAAATTAGCAAAATTAAGGAACTTGAGTGTGATAAATTTTTTTCTTCTTGAAACATGAATGAAAGTGTACAAGAAACTACGATAGTATATAGGGTAGTTGAAAAAGAAGAAATTGATCAGGAAGAACAATTTAATAATTGGTGGGCTCTACTGGCTTTGGGTCTTGTGTTGGCAACTGCAGCAGGAAATATTTTGGTTTGTTTGGCGATAACTTGGGAGAGAAGACTTCAAAATGTCACTAATTATTTTTTGATGTCATTGGCAATCACCGATTTAATGGTAGCAATCTTGGTAATGCCCTTGGGGATTTTAACATTAGTACGCGGTAAGTAATAACACTAAACATTTTATTATTTATTATAAAAAAAGAAATCTGGAAAATATGCCCTTGTAAAAGTCATCACGCTTTTTAAAATAACCACTACAATTCGATAATTATGCAAAAGAATTTATTTTTTTATTACGAAGGCAAGTTTTAAAACTAAAAGTACTTTTCAGAGAGAATTTTTGAAATTTCTAACATGAAACTATGGGAACGTTTGCGCGATAGTATAATGTGATAATGAGTTAACGCTTATTTGAAAACTTCTTTATTTCGCAGAAAAAAATTTGTTAATATTACAATTAATTATTTACGTTCAACACGACTATATATAACACGGAGTAATTGTTGTAAAACACCAGCATAATGTCTAAATAGCTGATCATCCGATATTTGATATATATCCGTTAATTACCAACATATATTAATCGGCTTTGTTTCTCATATATCAATTATTTCACCTACCGTTTCAATATATTCGAAAAGGTCAATTTGTTATTAGCATTTATTATTATTCACAGATATGATATTTTTGCCTAGATATTTAATAATGTGTTGCTAAATAATATCCATTAAAAATTACCACTTTAAAAGATTGGGTAATTAATTTAATGACAGCTATTATTGTCCTTTGTCAGCAAAGTGGATTCCATAATTACAATTTCATAACACTTTTACGTAACGGTCCATTAACTGAAAATCATTTCTCTGTTTTTAGCAGAAAACAAAAATTGAGTGGGAATAAAATTGCAAAAAAAACTTGAAAATCTAAAAATTATGAATTTTAGCTCAGATTGTATCATATCAAAACGAACCTACCGATTCAAGTGCAGTTTTATAATTTGACTGTAGGAACTGATTGACAAAAAAATTATTGTTTTGAACATCACAGTTGTAACGCATCCTTCTTCTCCTATCTTGATGAAAGATCTCTCCTTGGTCAACACTTACTATACCAAGATTACTTGGAACAAGCATCTCAAATCTTTATTAATTTGCGATTACCACAAAACAGTTCATCAAGATATACACAAAATATGTTGGATAATTTTGTAACACAATGATTCTAAACTAATGAATCAGCCTACAGAACTAGTACTTAATATTAAACTGCTCGAGTGATGCCTGGTAGGAGTCAGTTTCGATGAATACATCTTTTCTTGTTTTTGTTTTATGTGGATCTAGCTTTTACTATTGGATGTGTTTCACATTCTACAATCTATTCAAGCAAATATCAGAGTCATGAACTCCCAATAAGATGATCCATTGAAATCTATACCTTTTTACGTGGATAAAATAAGTTATTTTGAAAAAACAGTGGATGATTTATGTGATAGAAGTAAACGAGTTTAATCAAATATTAACAAGCAAAACGTGGGGGTGATGAGAGGAGAGAGGGGTTATAATATTTGAAACAGTATTCCAGGTTAACTAATCTAATTTTGTCAGATATCTTGAGAGAAAACATGATTGGCTACCAGAATTGCCTTTATTTCTTTATCTAGGTAAAATAAAGGCGCGACGTCCAGTCTAGAACACACATCAGCACCTTTTTAATCTATTTTTTTAAGTTATTTTCTAATATAAATTATATATTTAATGATTCATAAACGTCACCTATTATAAGCCATAATTATTTTATGGACGATTTAAAGACGCGAGTTTTTGTAAATTTCTAACCGCACGGTGTCGAGATAAGCGTTTGATTACACAAACACACGAAGGGATAGTTTGCCCTGGAATTACAACGGGACAAGTTAAATCCAAATTAAATTAGATATCAGGGATTAGGACCGTCCGGATTACTAACAAATCGAAAACCTGCGTGACTAGTCATACTTCATTATCGTCAACATCACAAAACCCCTTACAAAATTAACTTCAACGTTGTTATCCGTCCAAATTTATGTGACGTTATTTTTATGTAATAAAATAAATATTGTCGTTATAAAAATTGAATTAAAATCAATGAATCTTTAACTTTGTATCTTGATACAAGTAGATATTAAAAGATCGTTTAGCAACGTCATCGAATGCCCAATAAGGTCCTCGTCTTCGAGACTTATAGCACCACTTCAGTTTACGATTAAACTGTAAAATTTTAATCGATGCCAAGATGTAAAACGTGACTCGAACGGAATTGCTCGATGTAGAGATTGTAACAAGAAAATCGGCGACATCCACTTCGTACTTCCTTAATTTAATTACGCAACTTTAACAAGCACCACCACCATCAAATCCAGGTGTTTTAAGAAAAGCTTTTTTAACACTAAGAAATGAAATATTAAGAATTATTTCTTTTATGGATTAAATTTAGCTGGTTGAGAATAAATTCTTAGAAAGGTGCAATAAAACTGTTTAGATGTTTTTGAGTTTAAGTGTATTCAAAGGTGCGTTAAGGAAATTTTTAGAAAGTTATAATCGTAAATTTTTATGGTAAGTAAGGGTTTTTTTAAGACTCAAGTTTATAACTGATTATTTTTTTACTTCAGGGGTTATTTAGTCGCCAAAATGTTCTCTCTTTAGATTTTCAAAATCGAAAATATTTTCACAATACACCCGTTTTACACGTTTAGTGTGTTTTACGGTTCATGCATGCAAATATAAATTCGAACATTTTATGATTTTATAGCTCAAACATGCACAGATACGAGCGTATGTTATGTTATTTCGAAAACAGAATCGTTAAGCAAATAATGTAAATATTAGATACACTCATAAAATGGAACAGAAAAAACGGTATACATCCAAAAACTGTATTTATATCGAGTAGATTAATAATAAATAATATACAACAAAAACTAGTGAAATAAAATTTCTCGGTTCGTCAACACAATTATAATAAATGACCGTAAATCATCAACAACACGTTTGCAACAATGTAACCCAATTATGTGGATGTACATTTACGACAAGTTAATTAAAATTACAAAGCGAACTGACGACAAACATTTTTACTGAAATTAAACAAAAGTTCAAATTGTAATTAACTACAAATTTATTGTAACATTAACAATAATTGTTTTTATGGATAAATAAAGTTTAGTTAGATGAAAAGTGGCGCCTAATTCGTGTCAACACGTGCACCGTTCACGCACCGATTGTCACGATTAGATTAGGTTGTGTGCGGCAAAAGGCTTATTGTATACCGGGGACCGATAATTCCGTTGAAATATAATAGGGGGATCGGCGTTGCACCACGGGATATCGCACGCGTTATTCGGCTTTGATAGAGGCGCGAACAACAATTGCAGCAAGAATGAAATTCAATCGATATAGCCTCACGTATTATATTAACAATACACAATAAGCTCCTTGATTAAGATATTGATTTTCTATTATTTTCCAAATAACTTTATTGTTTTAATTGAATGCGTATAAAATTACTCAAAGTGGGTTACTATTACAACAAATTACTAACAAAGTTGTTAATTTTAAATCTAATAACATCACCGTTCTTTGAGGTTTAGTTTTTGTCATGCTTGGAAAATCGCTGAAGTTAAAGAAGGTAGAATAGGAGAAGAGATGCATGGGGAGCGAGATGGATGCTGAGGAGATGGAGACGAGAGAGAAGGTTGTGGCACTTGTGGCAGTGTATACGGATGGGACAAAGGAAAAGGAAGGTGTTTTGCGGCAATGATAGTAATGTTGGATGATAATGCAAGCTGAGCTGATATCATCGAATTAAGAATAGAATGGATGGAGAGAAGAGGCACCGATATGCTGTGGTCAACGGCAACATAACAGCGGTGAGCAGTACAAGCAGGAGTGAATGACTTAGCGAAATTGTTTGAAAGTGCAAGAAAGAGTGGCAGGATAGTGGAATTGATTTGGAAGAATAGGGCATAAGAAGGTATGAAGAGCTGGCTAGGTGAGGTGTCGTTGAAGGGAAGGTAGGAATACATCTCTGCATAAGTATGTGTAAAGGAGGGAGATTATGAAAGATGTGAGGGAAGCGTGGAAAGCTAGGTGGGTGAAATCGGACAAGGGAAGGGGTGCATATGGATTTATAAAAGAGGTGTGGATGGGTGAAGTGGCATTTGTCCAGCAAGGGCATTCAGCTAATGTCAAGGCATATCCTTTTAGTGTGAATCTTAGAAGGTTTAGGTTAACAAGTACGAATAGGGTGTGTGTGGACTGGGCGAGGATTCCTTGCAGCATATTCTGCAAAAGTGTATTGATAGTTAGGTATGGTGTATGATGATTCTGAAGTGTACGGCGACAGGATTATGGCTTATGGAGTTGCAACAAAGGGGATTTGCAATATGGAACTTGCGCTCGATCCTCTGCATCTTCAAGAACACCGTAACAAGAAGAGTTTTCACCGGAGATAGTATTCGACAAAAAGCTTTGTTTTTTTATGAGAAATCAAAATGATAAAGACTAATTATAAAAAAATCCTGGTGAATGCCGTTTTGCGAGAAGATGATGACTTTGAAGACAAGTTCTTAAATGCAGAGGTGAAGAAGATGCTACAAAATCGCTAAAAAAATTTCACAGAACAAAATATTGAAGAATAAACGAAACAATCGGTACTGAATTCTAATTCAGTATTTCAATGTACTCAAAATTCTCTAAAAGTTTAAAAATAATGTACTTTGCAACTAAGAACTATACTTAGACATTTAACCAATGTTCTTGTAGTAATTAGATTTGTAATTAGACTACCGATTTTAGAACGAGTTGCAACTTGCAATATATGTAGGGACGCTGAATTTACCAATGCTTGTTTGTTGTCACTAACCTGCGCACTGTGTTTGTTCATGCGCCCGTGAAACAATTTGAGGTAAATTGATATATTAATAATGAATTAATTGAATTAATTGCTAAATACGATTTTTAGGATATCCGTTGTCAACGTTTCAATTAAATTGAATTCTGATTTCATAATCTATACTGTAGCAAAAACCGATCCAACCTCAATATGGAAACTTCCTAGTTATTAGAATAAATGGCATAGGTTAGAATAATGTTGAAACGGTTTATTTTTTTAAGCATTTTTA